TCTCATATAACGGGAACATCTAGTAGAGTTTGTGGTGACACATCACTTCAAGTCCTGTAAAACATTCTCTAATAAGATTTTATCTGATATCTCCCATCGTCTTTATTCCTCTCTTAGCGACTGCCTTTCTCACTCATCCACCCGTACAACTCACAAACTCATAAAGACTCGCACTGAAGCTTACAGGCGGTTGTTCCATATCTCGCCAGATTTCTAACAAACCAAGTCCTCGTTACGGGAAATCTGCGTCAAACACTACACTAAATCCCTCATGAACACCGAGGCGTGCCACTCATTTTGGTTGTTGCTGTCCCTTTTCACATCCTTTTAACTGCTGCATCATACTATTGTGTTTTACGTATTTTTTGACACACTATGGTTATGTGGTTGCTGAATATCCACCTCTCGGGGTGTATAAAGCCATTCCTTGACTTGACTTGACTTGACAATAAAATCATCCGTTTTGTGTGAATTCGAAAACAGGTAATGAGAAACATAGGCTTTCAATTTTTACTATGCACATATACAGTTGATCCATTGTTTGTCAAGGAATAAGTACGATTTTGTATTCTGTTAAATATAGATAAACGGATGACTGACAGGTAAGTGAGTTAGACAAGTAACCAGCCAAGTTATGGTGAAAGGAAAGCGGTGCTGTGAAGCGGTGCGTAGATTGTAGGGATACTGTGTGTGATCAAGCATGTCAATGGTGCAAAGGGTGCTAGTGGATTAGCTGTTCTTGGCCAGCCACATGCATAGATTGATCCAGATTGCTCAAGTATAAATACCGTGTGCTGATCGCTTGACCCATTTTAAGTCCATCGGTCTGTGCTCCGCCTGGTGGCAAACACACGCACACATGCACAGACACACTACGATGTAACATCCATTTGAACCAGGTGTCGGATTCTGATGCGTGAATGACAATCCATGTGCCTACTCCTCGATGACAAGGCCAACTGAACTGATGCTCTCCCCATTCTACTCAAAACTTCAAACGCGGTTAATTACTTAATCTTACAACTGTCAAACAGTCTCCGTAGCATCCTACTCAGTATCCCACCTGTCTTGCTGAAAACGTATTTGGCCAGTCTTTCACAATCCTTGAATTCAGACAGTAGGCTCCCAGTTCTGAATGGTAGTTCCTCGTATTGCTAAGCATACTAAAATATGCCGTTAAAGAAAGACTTAGATTATCTAGTTCAACCGTTCCTTTTATGTATCAACAATCAAACCACTTTTTGCGCAGTTTCATCGTGCAGATTTTACGATCAATTCGTGTTGATGGTCAAGCTGATTTCTCGTTCGTTTTATTAACATGCAAATAAGATGCATTTATTGGCTACGGATATTTTCATTAGTAGAGTATCATAAAATCAGGAGTTCCATTAATAATGACCTGTGTACTTTTACACCCCTTTCTCTTTCTCTCTGTCTTCCTCCTTCCGAGACCATCTCATTTGACGAAAGCATCAGAAGATGTTACTTTAACTATGAATGTGGTAGCGGTTTGAGGAAATAGTCTGGTGAAATAGAATATATGTCAATGAATTTTGAGCTCAGTTTGAATAAGCAATTTGAAAATTTTTCATCCAAATGTGATTGAGGTTGGAGGAGTTGAAAGGGATGTATCGTCCAATGCAACGTGTCACAAGCGCTGCCAAGACGCCGTGAGCATTGTACGTCTGTTGGAAATCCAAGTCTGCAAACCTCTGAGGTGCATATCGATTGAGCTTCTAATAACTTGAAATTGGATGTG